AAAATGAAAATGTTGTCATTAATCACTTACCCCCATGTCGTTCCAAACCCGTAAAAGCTTCGTTCGTCTTCGGAACACAATTTAAGATATTTTGGATGAAAACCGGGAGGCTTGGGACTGTCCCATAGACTGCCAAGTACTTACACTGTCAAGACCCAGAAAAGTATGAAAGACATCGTCAGAATAGTCCATCTGCCATCAGTGGTTCAACCGTAACGTTATGAAGCGACGAGAATGCTACAGAAAAATCAATTATTTTGACCCATACAATGTATTTTTGGCTATTGCTACAAATATACCCCAGCGACTTATGACTGGTTTTGTGCTCCAGGGTCACATATATGTTTCTTTGTTGTTATTTCCTGTATTGTGCAGTTATAAATGTCTACGCTATATAAAGTTTACGCTTTCTTTTTCAGAAACCCCTTTGTAAGGTGTTTGTGGGACTGTGACCAAGTATGATGGGTGCACTCGGAAACGGTCGACGTGGCGGTCGCTCCCCGTCTTTGCTGGTAGCGGCTCTCATCGCCTGCGTCCTCCTGCTCGGCTTCAACTACTGGGTCTCGAACTCAAGAAACATCGAGCTGCAGGTTTGACACTCGAGTTTAGATGTAGTCTGTGGCAAGTGGTGGTGTGAGTGACTGTTAACTGTAATTTGCTTTGTGTTGTTCTCCAGAGCAGGATATTGGAGATGGAGGGCCACATGAGGCAGCTGGCTGCAGACAGAGACCGAGAGCAGCAGAGCAAGCTAAAGGACGAGGAGGAGACGCGCAGACAGAACGAGCAGCTGGAGTTAATGGAGGAAACACACCAGAGACAGCAGGAGAACACTCTCATCACCTGGAAACACGAAAGAGTATGAAAACACTCATCTTACACTCACTTGTGCAGTTTTTGGTCATGATTTAAATGGATAGTTCACCCAAAAATGAAAATTTGATGTTTATCTGCTTACCCCCAGGACATCTAATTATAGTTATTACAATATATTCAATAGTCAAAAGTTTGGAATAAGTATGATTCTTTAATGTTTTTGACAGAAGTCTCCAACGCTCAGCATGGCTGTATATGTATATACACTGCCGTTCAAAAGTTTGGGATCAGTAAGACTTGTAATGTTTTTTAAAGAAGTCTCTTCTGCTCAGTACCATGAGAGCTAAAGAGAGCAGACTGCTCCATGTGCTTTCGAATCGCTCTCGCGGATGTCAAACACTGATCGATCTGCGCCACACCTCTTCTAGTTGAACACACCGGCTAGTGCTGCAGGCTTAAGGCCAAAGTATACTTCGGCCGTCCGCGTCCACATTACGTCATTTTCGTCATCAGGAGGGCTCGCGGACAGCCGTGCACCCCGTCTGCATGCAGGCAATTTTTGGAGACCGCGCGAACGGTCCGCGTACAACAGCGCATGCGCAAGGTGAAAGTTGAGACAGAGCGCAAGTCAAGTACACACGGCGGCCTAGAGTGAGCAGAGGCGCGGGCTTGAGAACAGCGCGGCCGGCGATTTCGATGAAGGAGCGTCCGGAAGGACATGTGGCGAACCCGGGCTGGACTCCGCTTTGTCCACGATGAAAGCCGATCCGGCGATCCAAAGCGCAAAGTTGTAGTATTTCCTCAGCGACCAGCACGGATCAGCTCCAGGCATGACGAAGCAGATATCGTCCTCTTTTCCCCTTTAAAAATCGTTCTGATCCCAAACTTTTGACCGGTAGTGTGTATATACAGCCAAAATAACATGCATTTTGTATGATCCCTCTTATTTTGGTAAAATAATTAACATTTTGCAGATACTGTAAAATGTTGACCACAACTGTATATTTAAAAATAAATAAATTAAATAAATACATTTAAAACATGTTTTTATTTACATTACTTTTTCAGTTCTAGAAATCACACTTTTAAAATTAGTGGCCTGTTACATGAAGCCAGTTTCAGTGGTTACCCAGGTTTGAGTGGTGTTCATGGCCATAGTAACTTAAGCTACATGGCTAACCTGTTCCAGAGCAGGTTTTATTCTGTGTAAGAGATCGCAGACCAAAACTGAACCAATCAACTGTGAGGAAAGTGACATACATCTGATGCAACAAAGCCACCCCCCCTGTATCTCATGAACCAAATGAAAGCACTTCACAGTGAAAGAATTTTAAAGACAAAATCATCTAGCCTTTGGTGTTAATATTATTGCAAAATATATTGGAAAATTGCCATTAACAGATCCTTCATTGTACAAATTGGGACGCTAGATGGTGATATAGGGTTATGTAACAGTAATGTAACATGAGCATCACTAGGTATTGATGCCAAAAAATGCTGTCTAGGTAGGCATGTATGTTCTAATGTCCAAAATGCTCTCTACATAGGCAGCTCTACATGCTATCTATATAGGCATGTATTCTATGATTCCCAAAAATGCTGTCTGTAGGCAGCTCTCAAGGTTTTGATACCCAAAAAACTGTATACCAGTGGTTCTGAACTCCACAGTCCTCATTGTACATGACAATATTCGAAGGTTCCCTAGCCCTAATTTTGTTTTTCAGAACTTAATCTATGGGCACTCTCAGTATCTTTTTTTTTTCTTCTTCTTTTTTTTTCTTTAATTTCCTAGTTTTCACTCCTAGAAAATATTTAAATTAAAAAAGCTAAAATGATTATAATTAAAAAGATAAAAAATATAATAAAATAAAAATAATTTACATTTTATTCCTGATAAAATTAGCAAAAAGCTTGTCATATCAAGTAGAAAGGTATAGAAAACACACTTTCATAATGAGACTACCTTATACAGTATATTCAGGTTTCCCAAGACTTGGTTCTTCAAAGGAGAAAAAAAAAAAACAGTTGTTGAGGGGGTAAATAGAAATAATAAATATCTTGATTTTAGTTGTTTCTTATTTTCATGCTTCTTTTGTCTTATTTTAAGTCACCTTGAGGCCCCCTTGGAAGTTTGCTGAGGCCGCCTAATGGGCCCGACCCCCTGAGAACCTCTACTATATGGGCAGATATTCTGTTATGCTCAAAAATGCTCTCTACATGGCAGCTCGCTAGGTATTGCTGTAGGTTATGCTGTCTATTAGGGGTGTAACTGTACACGTATTCGTACTGAACATTTTCGTTACGGGTCTTTCGGTTTGGTACTCATGTGTACCGAACAAATACAGCATTGGTTTAACCACTGCATGAGCAGAACTTAATTGGAATCTTCCAGTTTTATATATTGTTACTTTTGATAAGAAACAAAGTCTGATCTTTCAAATTATGTCAATTTTTTCAGGAAATTCAAACAATAAATGGCGTTTTGACGCTCTTTGATGTGGCGACAAATCGCTGTATAAACGCCTCCGTTCAAACGGCAGCGCGATCATCCCTTCCTCTTTACTAACTTACTAGTTTAAACGCGAAATAAACATGAATGAACATTTCACGCCTCATGTAATCACTCAATCAGTGTTTCAACTGTGGAACCTCATCAATAAAACAGCTTGTGAACAAAATGTCACGTAGCATTTAATTTACCTCAGGCAAGGCATCAGTGTCTGCAGCTCATTAGTTCGCTAGAGAAATGAAGTCTAGAGAAGAGCATTTAGCTAAATATTAGACTATTTACTCATTATATTACTTTACCTGTTAGTGAGTCTTAATTATTTAATGTATGTTTGAATAAACCTGTTATGAAACAAGTTATGACAGCCACTGTGTAAATGATTATATTTCACCAACAAATAGAAATTTTATCATTTAGAAATTAATGTAATTACTGCGTTAAGCACTTGCATATCATTGCTCTTTTGTTGATTTTGATTGCTTCCATTGTCCTCATTTGTAAGTCGCTTTGGATAAAAGCGTCTGCTAAATGACTAAATGTAAATGTAAATTTAAAAACTGCATTATGTACAATTTTTTAATTTGAGTGTTGATTATTACTTAAAAATAAGTAGTAATTGAATTAAATTTTGGGCTCTGTTGTTAATTGTAACCCTATAGTAATGTAAAAGGGCTCCCTATAGTTTAGAGCAGAATCTGAGGTAGATTTTTATCCCTAAGAAAATTTTAATTATTAATTACATTTATTTAAAGAAAGAGCAATTTGTTCAGTAAACCACTGTTTAATAAAAAAAAAGCAGTTTTATGTGTTGATTATTACTTAAAAATAAGTAGTAATTGAATTAAATTTTGGGCTCTGTTGTTAATTGTAACCCTATAGTAATGTAAAAGGGCTCCCTATAGTTTAGAGCAGAATCTGAGGTAGATTTTTATTCCTAACAAATGTTTAATTATAATTAATTTTATTTAAAGAAAGAGCTATTTCTTCAGTAAACCACTGTTTAATATAAAAAAAGCTATTTTATGTTTAGTTTTTTCCCCTGCTGTACCGAAACCGTACCGAACCGTGACGTCAAAACCGAGGTACGAACTGAACCGTCATGTTTGTGTACCGTTACACCCCTATTGTCTATACAAGCAGGTCTGCTATTATACCCAAAATTGCTCTTTAGGAAAGCAGGTCACTAGATTTTGATGGCCAAAAATGTCATATTGGATATGCTAGGTGTCTGTTTTTAGTTCTAAAACTCTTTTCTCCTTCATAGGAGAAACTGAAGCTCAATATTTCCTCCAGTATTAAAACAGTGCAAGACATGAAGAGTGTGTCTACCTCATATTTGTCCTATTATATGTACTCTATGATACATATCACCTTTCCTTCACATTACTGTTGATTTTCTGTTTCTAGACCGTATGAAGTCATTAATGGAAGATGTTAATAAAATGCAGAGCGAGCTGAAGTCCTGTCAAAGTAACATGGACACGCTTAGTAAGAAAGCCACCAGTGAAATGTAGGTTCATTCTGAATGCTCTAATCTACAATACAAAAGACATTATAGTCCTTGATCAGTATGATAATGGCTGTGTGGGATGGGATTGTGCAGGACTCAGTGTAACAATCAAATTGAGGCCATGAAAGAGGAATGCAATGCGAAAATTGCAGCTGCCAAACTGGAAAAGCAAAATACATTTGAAAAGGTTGCTCTACAGGTACGGTTAAGGGGGAAAAAAGTCGCCTTTATAGTGATTCTTATCTTTTTGGTGTCTCTTTCCCCCTTTCCACTTACACAAACTCTGTCCTTCACAGAATGCTGATGGTTCCATACAGAAAGTCTCTGTTTCAAAAGCCAAATCTGATGTTCCTGCTACAAACCATTCTGATAAAAATGTGGCAGAATCTCCAAAAGGCAAACCAGATGTGGATTCACAGTCTAAAAACGATGCTCACGTCCAAACCATTAAGTTAGTTGTTGTGGAAAAGGATGAGAAAGGTACGAGTTGCCTGTTTAAGTCTTCTTTGTGGATTCTAGGTGGTTGATTACTGGCTCGTGTCCCTTATTCAATGCAAGTCAGATCACTCAGAAGAGTAATGGCAAAGCTCTCTCTACTCAACAAACCACATGATTTTAGGTTTTCATGCTTGCAGCACGAGTACCACATTTTCTAAATGCATGTTATTGATCTTATCTCGAACGATTTGTCTTAAACCCCATCCCTGCAAGCTTACGTTCATCTGCCTTTTTTCAGTGCAACCTCCACACCTCAAAATCCATTTAGCATTTAATGCTTAAAACATTCCATGTTTTCCGATAATCTGTTAGACTTGGATGTACATCACTAGGGGTGTAGCGGTACACATCACAGAACGGAAGAAAAGATCTGACGCCACATCCGTTAAATCACGACTTGCAACCTCTGAATAAAATGCAATTCGTCCCCTAGTGGCAGTCGTAATGAACTTGAAATTTGCTTTCCAAGCCACATTTGGTCGGACGGTTGCATACTGTTTTGTCGCACAAAATTTAAACATCCTAGGCTCAAATGACATCCAAAAATTATGCACCTGCATTGAGTCTGAACTTCACGCAGCCCCCCGTGCGACTCTCCATGGGAAATGAGTGAATTTGGGTCTATAGTCTGTCATTTTGTTGTAAGCAAAACCATGAAAAATGCGGTTTTAGGATTCCATAATATCACTCTTATCAAATGTGCTCCATTAAAGCTGTTCACACCAGTGACAGTAACTATAAAGTTTTAATAATCAATCAGAACTAGAAGAAGAATAGCAAAGTCCACACCACAACTACTACAGTAAAAACACAGAGGAACAATATTATTGGAATCACTTTCAGAACAACATTTTTCAGCTAAAAACAATGAGAGTCAATCAGAATTCACCCGACTTTAATGCTCAAGCATTTAAAGCAGCAGATAAGATGTACCTCTCCATGTACCTTCAGCAGGTGTTTGAACATTTTGTCTGCTCCTCTAAGATGCTGTAATTTTACAAGACTCACCCATCCCCACCTCCAAACTGACCAATAAGAATGAGACTCTTAAGAAACCAGCCAATGAAGAAGTTCCAGAAACAGTGGTGGATGTTAAAGCACAGGCTTCAAAGGCCGCAGGTGGGGTAACAAAGAAAATTCAGCCATCAAAGCACCACACACACACACATATTACTAATTTTCTGTCTTCATACAGATACTGTAATGGATGAAGCAGGGATTTTAGACCCAAAGGAAGATGAAATGGGGATTGGAGATGAGAGAGAGGAAGATGCCAACATTGAGGACAGGAAAGAGGAAGACGCTGCAATTGGGAAGGAAGATGCCATTATGTACGACAATGAGGGTGAAATAGAAAAACAGCTGTCCAAGATTAAAGGTGCTCTTCAATATCATGCAGAAATATTCATGATATAATGTAATTAAACTACTGTTTATTTATTTTACAAACTGAGGGGTGACTTATTTATTTCCCATGGTAATTGACAGCGTGTCACAGAAAGTTGTTTAATCTGCTTTAGTGAAAAAAAGTGAAGTGACATGTGGCCAAGTATGGTTACCCATACTAGGAATTAGTGCTCTGCATTTAACCCATCCTAAGTGCACACACACAGCAGTGAACACACACACACCCGGAGCAGTGTATATCATTATATATCAGAAGTACTTTTGTCCTTTGCAATAAAATTACAAAGGATTTTATGCATTTTTACAGATGAAAATCAAGGTGCTGGTCAAGATCTAGAGGATGATGTGGCAAATTATAATGGTGATGATGACAACCAACCAGAGTCTGAGGATGAGAAGCAGGCAGAGCTTGCAGAGACGTAGTTCCTGATCACATGATGTGTCTGCTGACAGCAACAATTTCTCCAGCTAAAGACAGACACAGACTCTTATTAGTGACTGTTCTGAACCTCTCAACGGTTGGAGAAGACACCTGCTGTAAAGACTGATTTGTTCTGGGTGAATACTGCACTACTGTGTAATGAAGGATATGAATCTCATCCCTCTTACCAGGACAGGCATGGTGAAAACATTATTTTTCTAGTACTGATTTTAGGTTAAACTTGAATGTAACTACTACTCTTATGACATCGAGCCTTTAAATGAATGCATCATGGTGAATTTTCCTTATTAAATGAAAGATGCTTTGTTCTTAAACAAAAGCAACAGCTGTTCTGTTACAAAAGCTACTTCATCTGGTCTTAATGGTTTTGTGTTCTATTTTGATGTCTAAACATTTTAGCTGCTGAAAAATGCATAGGAATATTAGATGTTTAGAAGACACTTAACACTCATTTAACAGTGCAATCCAGTCCTTTATTTGCTGTAAAAAGTTACTTTTATGTAAGAATTGCATTTTAATTTCTTTTTAATATGTCATGTTGGGAACTGAAATATTTTTTAATATGGGTTTCTCACTGAATTTCTGATCTCATAATAAATATTTTATTGTGTGCATTTAATGGGTTTACAATGTAGATGAGTGATGACTGGTCGTTCGCAATGGAATGCTAGTGTACTACATACAGTACTGCACGGTATATGCTGTATACGGTTTTTTTTAAGGTAGCATGTATGCTACATTTTTACCTGACCTCACTTGTCAGCAATAGTGGTGCTATTGCTTAAAACTTAACTTCGAACGTATGACTTTCAACAGAATAAAAGAAACTAAGTAGAAGAAAGAAAAGAACCTTGCAGTCCTCCTCCTATCACCAGCCAGAGCAACCCAGCTCTCCAAAACCAGGCAACAAGCCCATACAAACTGACAATGCCTGTTTCACCCGGCTGAGCAGCAACGTTGGCTGACCCAGAGACCGATGCTTCCACGTCTTCCCAAATCTCTCCATTGTGGTGAACAGCACATTCCAGGGCCCAGTTTATGGCAGGGCCCCTCTCTGACCACAAATGTGTTTGCTACATTTTGATTGGAACTTGGTGGGCTAACATAAGCAAACTGTCCAACGCCATCGGATAAAGATGCTAGGCCAACCTCGTCACCTTGACGACCATCGGCACAAGACCACGGGAACCAGACAAGTCCTCTGCTCGATCTGACCTGTGTTGCAGCCTGGAATTAAACCACACCATGCTGGTTTCGTCTGGCCAGAGGAAAACTGGCCCCCCGATTGAGCCTGGTTTCTCCCAAGGTTTTTTCTCCATTTCTGTCACCGATGGAGTTTTCGGTTCCTTGCCACTGTGGGCTTTGGCTTGCTTAGTTGGGGACACTTGACTGATTGCACAGACACTACTGGAAGAGAGCTGATCTGGATGATGACATCACTGAATCATCAATGAGCTGACTTCAGCTGAAAAAAAATGACTCTTTGTTATTGTCCTCTTGCATTACTGAAAAACTATTTTTCTGTTTGACACTGTAAAGTTGCTTTGACACAATCAGTATTGTATAAAGCGATATACAAATAAAGGTGACTTGACTTGACAACAGCCACACACCTCTTAGAGGGCAAGAAGACCACGTCTGGAACCAAGCCTGGAAAGGACAGGACTTCTCATTGCAGTTTCTGCCCTTTACCAATCTACAGACTAATTGCTAAGGTTTTGGCCTGTGACCGCCTTAAAAATTCCTTAGGACCTCCGGATGCAGCAGCAGTGGGTGAAACAGAGAGATCACAAAGATCCATCCAAATCCATTCATAACTACTGTATGTTTCCAAACCTTAAAACTGATGTAAACTACAACACATACATTTTAATCAGAGAAATAAGTATTCTCAGTGACAGCTATGTGTAATGCAACAACTCATACAAACTCAGCTGTTAATGGACAAATGAATGCATGCATGACAGTTCAATCTTTTTTTCCATCATGTTTTTTCTCTATTTGTGTAGAATATTGCCAAAGGTATTCTGGTGGTGGTTTGGTAAGCGAATAATGCAAAGGTAAAACTTTAGTGACACTTTTCTAATTGTGCCAGCAGCCAACCACAGCACTGAAATGGAGAAGCGCCAAATTGTAATCTCCTCTGCACCTGGACAAGCCACCCAATTACCACATCGACCATGGGACTGTGCCATTGACCTTCTTCTGGGTGAACCAGTGCCCTGTGGCAAAATCTACCCACTTTCCATCCCTGAACAGAAGCCCACAGAGGAGTACATAGAAGAGGCCCCCAAACAAGGCTGTATCCGCCCATCAGCTTCTTTGTGAAAAAGAAGGATAGAGTTTTGTGGCATTGCATTGATTACCAGGCTTTCAATGAAATCACTGTCATACATCAGCATCCACTTTCCCTCATCCCAGCCACTTTGGAACAGCTGAAAGGCACTACCATCTTCACAAAGCTGGATCTCCAAAGCACCTATAATCTCAATACATGAGGGGGACAAGTAGAGGACTGGATTTGTGACACCTACCAGCCACTATGAATATTTCGTTTAATGAATTAAGTAATCCGGGAGTACCTATACCGCTTCATGGTGGCATACATTAATAATATTCTGGTGTGAATTCATGGTTGAACATCGCCACCACATTTTGGAGGTCCTCAATAAAATACGTGAGCTCTTCCTCAAGGCAGAAAAATACTCCTTCCATCAGTCTTCCATGCATGCAGTTCTTCGGCTACTACGTCAGTGAAGATTGTATCAAGGAAGAGGCGAAGGTCGAGGCTGTATGATCCGGGCCCACTCCCACAACCATTATGGAGTTACAGCAATTCCTGGGCTTTGCAAACTTTTGCCACCACTTCTTCAAGAATTTCAGCTCCATTACTGTTCCATTCACCACTCTTCTGAAAGGTAGGCCCAAGTCTGTTCTTGAATCCAGACAAACCCTTCGTTGTTGAGGTTAACACCTTGACTTGAGGAGCAGTGCTTTCTCAACAGCAAGGGAAGCTACAACGACTCCATCCATGTGCCTTTTTCTCTAAGAAACTCAACCCAGCAGAGCAGAACTATGACATTATAAATTGTGTTGCTGGCCATCAAGCTCACCCTGAAGGAATGGAGGCATTACCCTGAACCCCAGACAAGCCAGGTGGGCCTTATTCTTTACTAGATTTGATCTAACTATTCCCTATCGCAAGAGACCAATAATGTGAAGGCTAATTATCAGTGCAATCCAGTGGTCCATGGATGATAGAATCAGCAAAGCCAGTGCCTCTGATCCAGCTCCACTGGGCTGTCCTCCGGACCGCACCTATGTACCCAGATCTCAATGCACCTCTCTGATAAAGTCAGTGCATGCATCCGTGGGCACTGGCCACCCAGTAACAAATCAGACCCTCTCGCTGTTGCAAGATGATTCTGGTGGCCTGACATAGCTTGTGACATCAGAATGTTCATCCAGGGATGCCAGGAATGCGCCATGTCCAAAACACCGTGCCATTTGCCATCTGGCAAACTGCTACCGCTGCCTGTTCCACATCGACTCTGGTCACACTTATAAGTGGGCTTTATCACCAACTTACCATGGTCTGATGGGTCCGTTGCTTTCCACCTGCATTCCTGTAATCATCGACAGATTCTCCCAAGCTTGCCGTTGGAAACTGCCGAGATAACGAGTCATTCATGTCTTCTGTAATTTTGAACTCCATGAGGACATTGTTTCAGACCCAGGTTTGGATAGTCTTCTTCACCCTCCTAGGTATGACCTTAAGTCTCTCCTCTGGATACCATCCCCAGACGAATGTGCAGATGGAGAGGAAGATTCAGGAGACTGGTCACTTCCTGGAAACCTTTTGCCATGCCTCCTGGAACTCGCCTGGGCCAAGTACGCCCAAAATCCCCTCCATCATACCATTCCAGTGCATACTTCACTTCCAGTCCCCTCTCTTCCTGAGGTCAGGGGAACCATCTGAAGGCGGAATCAATCATGATTCATTTAAGAAAAAGTGTGTGATTAATTAGTTAAGGTTTTTTAATCGATTGACAGCACTAATATACTGTATATATGAAGAGTTCATTTGCAAAAACCGGTAACTCCATTTTAATTTTTTTTCACAAATCACGTTTTTTTATTGCGCATTCCAAGTATTATCAATCAAACTGCAGTTGGGTTGTTTTGATAAAGTAATAATTAACAAATACGGGTAATTTACAAAATTAAAGTTCATTGAAAGTATGTGTTTTTTACATATTAAAAGTTTGTTTTATAGCAAAAGCAGATAACTCCAACAGTCGTT